CAGGATAGCTCAGAGTGGAGGGCACATGGTCCTCGGCAGATGAATCGGGCTGACAGAGTGTCTCCACACTTCTGCCCATGTGTGCCTCAGGACACAGGGCAAGGACTGTTCCCACTGCTAACCCAGTTCATGGTCAAGGGCTTTGGAGGACCTCTGTGGCAGGGGTGGGAAGGTATGGGCTCCCTGCCAGGTGCTCATCCTTTCCGAGCTGCAGTGTGGCGGGTCAGTGCAGCCTCTGCCAGCCTGGAAGGCTCTTTGGGTGTGCTGGCTGGGAGCCGCAGCCTCTGGGCTGCAGCTGGGGAAAGACTGCAAAGAGGAGGTCATTCTGTTCTCCATGTGGCATTTATAGGGCATTGGTGACTCACCGGAATTTGGTCCCTGAAGGCGGCCAGTGGTGGAGTGGCTAGGAACGAATGAACGAACGAATGAATGAATGAATGAATGAATGAATGAATCATTCATTCATGCAACCAGCATTCTCTCAGGGCTTGCTCCATACTAAGCAGTAGGAATCCAGTGGTGTAAACAGAGCCCAGCGCTCTGCAGCTTCCTGGACAGGGGGCAAGTAGCTGACAGTACAGTTTGGGACAGACTTCTCCCAAGTGGGTCTAAGTGCCTGAGCAGGAGGGAAGCACACAGAGGAAGGGTGAGGCCAGTTCGCGAGCCGTCCGGTGAAGAAAGGTGCCTGAGGGTGGCAGAGAGGAGAGCGTGTGTGTGCCCAGGAAAGCACTGTCAAAGCATGTCCACCATACATCTGAAAGTCAGCAAGCAGATACTGTTCCACCGCCCCTTCGTAGATGGCCAGATGAGGCTCTGATGGTGGAAGGTGTCCAAGGCTGCAAAGCTCGCAGTGGTGGAGTTGGGACAGTGAGAGGGAGAGAGAGATGGATGGATGGATGGGTAGATTAGATAGATAGATAGATGATAGATAGATAGATAGATAGATAGATAGAATAGATGATAGATGGATGGATGGATAGATTAGATAGATAGATGATAGATAGATGATTGATAGATAGATGGATGGACGGATAGATAGACAGACAGACAGACAGACAGATAGATATTCTGGGGATGGAGCCTATTAGATGGAAAATGTTAGGCATTTCCCCATCCACCTCTTCCTTTTTCTTCTTTGGTTTATTTTTTCTGGTGTGTGTGCATGTGTGTGTGTGTGTGTGTGTGTGTGTGTGTGTGTGTGCGTGTGCGTGTGCGTGTGCGTGCGTGTGTGTGTGTCTGTCTGTCTGTCTGTCCTCTTCCCTTCCCCTCACACTAGCACCTTTCTTGTGCTTTTCTCCAGCAGTTTTATTGGGAGAAGAGCAGGAAGGTTACAGGAGAACAGTGAGTGATGAGTCCTGGACAGGCCTTGGGGAAGAGCCTGCTGGGTTTCCATCTTGACTTTTTGGAGAGTGCTATTGCAAAATTCTGATTGGAGAAAGCTTGGGAGTGAGGTGGGGTGGAGGGTAGGGGTGGGGTGTGGATGTTTGGGGATCCATATGCATGCATTTGATGGTAGGCTGGTATTGGTGGCTGATAGGGTAGAGATGTGGGAATGGACTCTGATGGGGCCTGGAGGTACTGAATGGGGATGAGATAGAGGTGAGGCCTCTGTGGAGTTCCCAGGACAGCTGGGTGTGTTGTGGGTCTAACGGGGACACCTGAAGCAGTTCTAGCTCACTGGGCTACATTCTGGTGCTCTGAGCTCAGGAACCAGGAGGGCTGCCTTAGAGCATGATGGGAGGTCTGAGCTGGTCATTTCCCTCCCCAGGCTTCCGTGTAGGTCAGGGCCATGCAGAAGCCTGTGGCTCTTCTCCTGTACCATACATGAAGGTGGGGGCTGGGGGCTGGGAGCCAGGACAGGGGAACTTGGAAGACTGAATTGTGAGCTGAAAGGGGATGCAGTCAGGGGCTGCTTTCCACAGACTTCCAGGGCTCCCCAGGCATCACACACACACACACACACACACACACACACACACACACACACACGCATGCGCGCGCGCACACACACACGCACACACATGCACACACACACGCACGCACACACACACGCACGCACACGCACACATGTACACACACACACACACACGGTGTGAGGGGGCAACACACATACAAACACATATACATGCACGATACCACCTGTGATGTGTGGTGCCACATCCACAGTGTAACATGTTTTATTTCGCTTGATTCTCACCTCTTCTTTTTTGATAAAAATTGCTCCCCCAATGTCCTCCTATTTTTCCTGACACAGGAGGTATGGCCCGGCCCTTGTCCAGTGGTTCTCTGGTTTCCAGTGAGTCCTGGGTTTTACCCATGAGTGATACAGCCTAGGAGCCCATCTGGTGGCAGAAGAGAGGATACCAGATCTAGGCAGTCCCTGGGGTCTAGTGGCCTTGAACCAGTCCTTTGCTTCCCTTGGGTATGGAACCATAGAAGACCCATTAAGTCCTTTCTGGAAAGATCTGAGGCTGAGAAGATGATATGGGAGGGCTGTAGCCCAGTTGGTAGCAAAAAGCCATCCCCGGCAGCACATAAAACTGAGTGTGATGGCGTGTGCCTGTAGTCCCAGCACTCGGGATCTGAAGGCAGAACCGTTGGGTCCAAGCCGCCTCTGACTCTGGGTGACTCTGAGCATAGTGTTTGAACTCTCTGAGCCCTAGCTCCTCATCTATGAGAGGAGGGTAGCAGAGGCCTCCACAAGGGATGCTCATGAGGATTATAGCAGACAGGAGCTCAGAGGGTGAGACTTCGCTTCTCTGCCTCAGTTGCCTGCCTCAACACGAAGAAGCGAGGCTCAGGTTACTAGATGGTCAGGAACAGGCGACGAGGAAGAGATTGGGAAGCAGAAGGCCAAGGACAAGCAAAAGAGATGGAATTTAGTCAAAATGGTGATTTAAACCAGCAGCTCTGGCTTCTGCTGTGTGTGTGTGGGGAGGGGTGGTGGTGGTGCAAGGTCCTCCCGGGGGCTGGAGAGATGCGGGCCTGAGGCTGAGGAGACAGGTGCCATGTAGACAACCTTGTGAGGTCTCCGCATTGGCCAGGAGGTCGGCTCTTTTATCCAGCAGACCTTTGGAGAAGATTTCCTTGATGGGCACCGTGATGGCACCACAAGGCAGATGGGACAGAGCTGTGGTCCCAAGGAACCCCAGTTCCAGGCAATGAGCTGATCCCCAGGCCCCTCCCTTCTGCATCCACTGGCTCTTGGTATTGATCCACTGGGGCCGGAGCTGGCTGGAGCGGCAGGCCGAGGATGCCGCAGTGCTATTAGTACGAAGACACGCTGTCATCTGTTAGTGTCTCCCTGAGCACAGCTGGCTGGGGAGCCATCCTGCTGTTAACCCCTCTTCCCCCTCAGCTTCCCACTGAGCACACAACTTGGACGCACCCTCGCTGCCTTTCTCCAGAGGGAATGTGAGTACATTTCCCAGCCACAAGCCCTGGTTCCCAAATGTCTCAGGCAGCTTTACCTCTGTACTTGCAGTCCCCAAATTCCTTACCAGGTGTGGCCATCGAATCTGCTCCCAGACATCTGTATGTCCATCTGTTTCTCTCACAGTCCATCATGCTCTGCCTGTCCATTCACCATCCATCCACCCACCCATCCATCCATCCATCCTGCAATCCAACATTATTTGGTTAGACTCAACACAGTTCAGTTCAACTAATTCCTTTTGCCTGTATTGAATTCCTAGCATTAGTGGCTTTACCATGTGCTGTGCAGGGGCCAGTGGGCAGAGACCTCACCATCCTTCACAACTGTCTCTGACCGTCACCCCTGCTAACCCATTTGCGGGTCCCTTTAGCAGAAGTCCTTGGTTCGGAAGAGCTGTCCCGTGGAAGAGCACTGGCCGTCATGAACCCTGTAGGAGATAGCTGAGGCAGGAGAGAGGGCAGCCCGGAGAACAGGAGTTGGGCTCCAGGCAGGCAGGAGCTGTGAGCTGAGGTCAAGCAGAGGTGAGCAGAGGTGAGTGGACACGACTTGAGAGCCAAAGGCAAGCGCGGGGGCAAGGAGCCCACTCCTGGAGAAATGTGGTCTCCTGTGACCCATGAAGGCTGATGTCCTGTGAAGATGTAAGCTCCAGAGACAGTGGACTGCCTGGCTTATCATTACAGGGCCACCATTCTCTTGCTGTATGACCCGGACATGTAGCCTAACCTCTCTGAACTCCATTTAAAAAGTGGGAGCAGTATTAAGAGCTATTGTGTAACATTGCTATCAGAGCAGACACTTAAAGTGGTTCAGTCTGTGCCTGGCACAGGGTACAGTGCAGCAGTTTTGTGCTATAGTATCCCTCCTTCCCTCCTGCCCGCCCTCTCTCCCTCATTCCCTCCCTCTTTCCTTCTCCCCTGTTCATAGGGTCTCCTATAGCCCAGGCTGGCCTCCAACCCTCTACATATCTGAAGATAAACTTGAACGTCTGGGTATTGGTATCACAGATGTGTGGCACCATGTCAAGTTCATATAGTGCTGGAGACCAAGTTCAGGGCCTTGTGCATGCTGGGTAAGGTCTCTATGCTCTGAGCCATGTTCTCAGTGCCAAGCACTGAACTGGGAATGCTCTTTCACTTTTGGTGTCTCCTCTGAGCTTCCGGGCTCCTAATGCTGTGTGAGGATTGTTGAACCATAGGAAAGGAAGGCTCAGACAGGCTGTTCTGTGCAGACATCACATAGGGCCTCTCTCTCTCTCTCTCTCTCTCTCTCTCTGTATGTGTTTGTGTGTTGGATCGCAGACAGACATTTCTTCTCCATTCCCCATTCTTTCCTGCATTTTCAAAAGCCAAGAAATTGCTGCTTCTCAAGGACTTAGTTCTCTGAGATGCAAAGACTCTGAGGTGGCCATCCAGATGGCTATCTGGGGCCCTCTCTGGGCTTTCTTTGTTTTGGTTTTTGTTACCGTGAATAGTTTTCCTCGCGACAAGTTGAAACTTTTACATAAACGGTCTTGTATACATATAAAAATAAAATGGTTATTTTCTGTGTTTTCTCTCTTTCCCAGAAAGCTCAACCAAACCTCTGAGATGTCAGCTTTGGCAGGGAACGCTGCAGAAATCATGATGCTTCTCCCCCTTTCGCCTCTCGTGTTGGGAAGCATGTACCCTTTGTCATGTCGCTTCTTTCCTGCTTCTGTACGGCGTGTGTTCTCCACCTTATGATTTATGTGTCCTTTGCTGTGAGCTGTTCCACTCACAGAGGGGGGAAGTGGGCAGAGGCCGAACTGAAGATGGACGATTATAAATCACAAGGAAATGCCTTCAACGAAACTATGGGCCGCAGGGACGGGATGGGAGTGTGTCTGCCCTTCCTTCTCTCAAAGTCTGGCTCTGCCTCTGGCTTGCTGAGCTTGCATGGAAGCTCCATGGTGCTTTTCTCTGTGGTGTTGCGGGCAACGGCTCTTTTAAGTTTAGTTATATTATTTACTTATTGTGCATGAATGTGTGTGTGTGGTATGTGTGGATGGTGCATGTGCATGTGTGTGTGAGGGATGGTGTGCACCCTCATGTGCATGTATGGAGGCCGGAGGAGGATGTTGGGTGTCGCACTCTATCTCTGTCTGCCTTATTTCCCAGAGACAGGGTCTCTCACCAGACCTGGGGCTAGGCTGGCAGCTGGCAAACCCCAGTGATCCTCATCTGGACACCCCTCCCAGTGACAGGGTTTATAGGTGCATGTGAGGGCACATGTAGCCGTTCAGTTATATGTACATGTGCTTGTATGTCTGTGGGTCTGGGCATGTAAGTGTGCTTATGAAGGACGGAAGAGTGCCTGATGTCCTGGAGCTGGACTTAGAGTTGCTTGTGAGCCAGCTGCTGTGGGCACTGGGGCTGGGACTCTGGTCCTCTGTAGGAGTAGTGTTCTTAACTCTTGAGTCACTTCTCTTGTCCTTATACCCAGCCTTTTTGTGGGAGCCGAGGATTCGGGTCCTGATGCTTGCACACCGCTCACTCTTACTGCCCATGTCCTTCTCTGTCTTGAATCCTCCACGCCACCCACACCCTGCTTTGGTCTGGATTGTCTTCCTGGCCCTTCAGCTCTCAGTGGATGGCCAGCAGTGCAGAGCACACCACGGGTTTCGCCAAGCTCACTGACTGCCCTGCCTGTGGAGCTGCAGTGATGACCCTTCGAAGCCAATACTCACTCTCTTTGTATCTCACATGCAAGCCGCTCCTCCCCTCCAAAGAGGGGGTCGTTTTCTCGTCCTCATGGAACCAGTTCAGGCAGCATCAAACTCTTGATCCTCCTGCTTCGGCTTCCTGAGTGCGGGATTGCAGATGTGTGCCACCATGCTTAGATATGGAGTGGCCTGGTCTGAACTTTGACAGAGGGCTCCAGAATCCACCCTAACCACCCTGTCACTTGGCTTCCCGTAGACTCAGTTTTCATCTCTGTAAAGGGGATACTAGTGTCCACTTCCCAGAACTGTGATAGTAGGTAGTTTGACAACGCCTGGCATGTTGTAGCTTCCAGTAAATCCCAGCTCACTGGGACAAAATAGGCAGCGGGGCTGGATGTGGGATCACATGACTGCAGTCTCAGCATGTGGGAAAACAAGGCAGGTTCAAAGCCAGCCTGAGCTACATAGGAAGATCCTGTTGCATTAAAAACAAAAACAGAAGAAACCTGATATGGGCTGAGGATGTAGCGCTTGCCTAGCATGTATGAGGCTCTGGGATTGAGCCAATAAAAACAAGAAACAAGTGTAGAGCGGCTAGGGGAAGCTTCGAAGGCTGAACTGCTAGGGCACTGGGGAGCTGCTGAATGCTTTGGAGTGAGAAAGGAACTATGTTTAGTTCAGGTCCCACCCTGTCCACTCCCTCCTCATCACCACGTCCATCTGCCTGATACTGCTGTGTGTATCACACCCTCACACCCTGTATCTCAGCTCCGGGACTGTTCACAGGAGACCCCTGATGTGTGTGTGTTGGGGTGGGAGGCAGGGCGGGGGCAGGATAGCTGATCTTGGTTGTCCACTTGACTGGATTTGGAATCAACTAAGAGATCTGTTGCCAGTCCATCTGTGAAGGGTCTTCTCCAGAGGGTTATTTGAGTAGAGACATCCACCCTAAATGCAGCAGCCCAGATACAGGAGGGAAATAGCTTTGCTTTTTGTCTCCTTGTCTTTGCATTTTGCTGCGAGTTTGATTTTCTCTACCATGTCACAGCTGTCTGCTCTACATCTGTTCCCAGCTTCCTCCCACTTCTAATATGGGCTGAATGAGAAGTGGGTTTTGTTTTGTTTTCAGACAGAGTCTCACTGTATAGCTCTGGCTGGACCAGCGCTCTCTATGTAGACCAGGCTGGCCTTGAAGCCGCCAAGATCCACCTGCCCCTGCGCCTGGAGTGCTGGGATTAAAGACACGTATCATAAAAAACCCAGCCCAATGTAGACTGAAGACCAGCAGCTCTCCAGGAATTCTCCAAGCCTTCATCATCAGTTTGGGACTACTGGGGCACCCAGCCTCATGAACTGGCCTTTTACTGGCTTCTCAGCCTCTCTCCAGTGTGAAGACAGCCATTGTTGAACTACTCAGACTGCCATGGAAGCTGATCTAATAAATCCTCTTTCAATGTGTGTTACTGTATCTTTTCTGTCCTTCTGGGTAGCACAGGAGAGGGAGGCTGAGAAAGAGGAGTCACCCCCCCCCCACACACACAGAGAGAGAGAGAGAGAGAGAGAGAGAGAGAGAGAGAGAGAGAGAGAGAGAGAAGAAACTAAGAGACAGATTCCAGCCATCTGCCCTCAGGCTGCACATCTCTGTCCTGACAGATTCTAGGAGCGCAGCACACGTAGTCACATACCCTTGATGCATGGTGTGTGTGTGTGTGTGTGTGTGTGTGTGTGTGTGTGTGTGTGTGTGTGTGTCCTGTGATCCCGACCTCTGTGACATCGTGAGGTCTCCATGCCTGCCCCCACACATCAGTGTATAGGTGACCTGGGCCACAGAGATGAGGAGTGCAGGGAGTCACTAGTGGGGGCCAGGCACACCCTCTGTCCCGTGCCAGTCTCTCCCTCCTCTCCTTGCCGCAGTAAGTTTCTGCTCCCGTGGGAGTGAGATCAAGCCTTGCAGTCTGAACAAGCATGCTTCCACGAATGGATCAAATTCCAGAAGTGTGTGTGCATGTATGTGTGTGTAGGTGTAGGATGTACATGCACCATTGCAGGCTTGGATGCACACACATGTACACGTGCTTTAGGGGCATAGTTGTATCTCTAAGGCATATACAACTGAGCCCATAGGCAAACATGCCCCTATGGATTTTGGCAGTGATATTCAGGCAAATGTTTAACAACTGGTTCTTCATTAAAAAAACAAAACAACTCTACTCTTTGGCCTTTGTGGTGTGAACATTTCCATGGGGTCACGTTAAGCCGCCAAGGGTGTGTAGCACCTTCCTTAGCTGGGAAGGGGAAGGAGATACACGTGTTTGGACGGCAGGGGCTGTGTAAGTCTGCTGAACACCTGAGGACTGGATTTGCATCTGTGATGGCCAGTGTAGGCGGGGCCCAGTCCTGTCTGTGGCTGGCAGAGAGAAGTCTACATGCTGGCCAGGAGATGCAGAACCTCTGCAGAAGTGGGGCAGGAGGGAGGTGGCTGCGTACCAGCCAGCTTTTTACCTGTCATTTGGAAGCTGGTCCAGACTGATACTCCTTGTTAGGCTGGCCTCGACACTCTGCCTTACCAGATGGATGCGCAGAGAGATGGTGGCTGAGTGGCTGGAAGGGTACAGAAAAGGAACCAGCCTGGTGTGGGGATGAAGGAGGGGGGACGTGTACCTCAGACCTCTATCTGTGGGATACTGGGTAGGGTTGAGGGGGCAAGAAGCTGGGGCCCTAGGCTGCTTAAAGCCAGGTGCTGGACACTTGACTTTCTCTCTCTGGCCTCCAACTGGGGCCTTCATCAACAAAGACAGGACTTTCTAGAAATTTCTATAGCCCTTGACGGGACCTTCTGGAGCCAGAGTCCTGAGGCTGGGTTTGTAGTGTTGGGCTCTCTGTTCCAAAGCCATAGGGAGGCTGGGGGTGTAGTTTGCATCAG